TTTTGTTTTGTCTGGTTATATACGAGTACATATTCAATTTTACTGTTTGTAGCCTGAGTTATAATAAAATAATACCTACATAATTCATTTACCATTTCTTAGTAGGATAATTTGTACTATGTTCTTTTCTGAAGTGTTTGTTCTACAAGGTAAATCAAATTATTATAGTGTTAGAAAGTTTTGATAGAATATTTTGATACTATTACAAAATAGCAATAGAATAAGAAAAGTATTTTTTATTTTCAGTTGCATTTTTGTTTCAAAAAATGCCGGCAATGCCGGCTTACGTCGCAGAACCCGTAATGCCTCAGGTCAAAGATATAGAACAGCAAGTCTAACTGTTAGCAACGTGAAACGCGAAATGAAGTTGAACGGAATCGATGGAACCGGAACCAACAATATAGAAGTGTTGTTTTTAAACCCTAGAGAACAACAAAGAAATGGACTATAGTACAATAAATTATAGGCCAACTTTTAAGGTAAGTGTATGGAAAAACATTTACCACTATTGTTGACAGTTTTCAATTGTAGTGGTGTATCATTTGAAATGGCTTTAAGTACATTTGTACTGTATATGGATCCTGGGAGTCTATTTGTACAACAATTCTTTTGATAAAAAAGATATTCCTCTAGAACGCATTGCTATTGCAATAGTATGCTGAAGCTGCTTTAGTTCGATGAAACATACATAGAAATATGGGATTAAAAAATTAAATTCTCTTTCTAAAAGAAATTTATCAAGTCAATATTATAATGACTAAGTCAATATTATATTATAATTATATAAAAGGAAAAAATATGGTAAATGCAATCTTATCAAGGTTATATAATAATTAAGACTATTATAGCATAAATATATTAATTGATACTATTCTGGGTTTATCAATTTGCATTGCAATCATAGCTTTGTTGTTGACTAAGTCTACAACGAAAGTCTTTATAAATCTGTTACCGAGAATTATTTTTCAGTAAGGTTCAACAAGAGTTTTAGATTTCTCGCCAATCCACAAAAACATAGGACATATGAATGTACTTATTATACAATATACTTTTTGTTACTAAAGACTTCTAAACCTGAAATAAAAAAAAATTACATTAGCAATGTCTCTAACTGGCCAATTTGTAACATCTTTAGTGTAACCCATTTATTAATAAATCTTTATACTTATTTTTCAGAGTACTAAATCGTCGTGTAAACCGGACAAGTCGACTCAACAATGACAGCATAGCAAAATGCTTGAAACGATATGACACTGCAGAATTAAAGACGAGAAAAACTAGATGTTGCACTATTAAAATTTTTAAAAATAAGTAATGTTTTGAGTACCATTCTTAAAAGCTAGCAAGAAATGGAAATACCATGTATTGTATATATACAAATTTTAAATTCTAATTTCAAAAACTCGGGTATGAATAGATTAAATTAGTGTTTTGTTAAAAAAACTTTAAATTATATTACAAACATCACTCACACTTTTATATTATTTGACAAATATACATACATATGTACCTATTATATACATGTAATGGAGAGGTATCTATTTCAAATATTTTATTTAATGTGTCTGTTTGTGGTTTTGCAACATTAATATAAAATATAATATTCAATTTTGCATTACCTATTAAGTTAAAACATAAATCATAATTTATTTCAAATTAGATATAATTTTATGAACTCGTATAGGACTTATTATGTTACATGTAAAAAAAACTGCTATTGTTGTAAAGGTTTGTTTAAATATGTTTTACATAGTGATAACAAGATATTTTTATGAATATTCGTGTAGATGAAGAGTAAATAAATTAAAACATGTATAATATGCATTCATTAACATCATTGTCTATCTACTATTTAAAATTAAAGGAAAAAAAGACAGTAGTTACAAATAAAAGAGATTTATTTTATAAAAAGAAAATATTATGAAGTTAATGAAATAAGTCTAGTAAGAGTTTATATAATGAACTACATATTTACTAGCTTTTATTTTTGGCATGCATATACAATTCAGGAAGTTTTATAATAAGGAATATTAAAAGAAATTGACATAAGTGCAGAAAAAGTCCTTTAAATTATTAAAATATTAAAAATGTATTAAATAATAGAACCTCAATCTAATTCTACCTTGTAAAGCAAATAAATGTATCTTTAGATAAATTAAGTGTTCAGAATCTTGATTGAATGTAGCTTCATTAAGTTTTGATATGTTCACATAGAAGGGAAGAAAGTGTGAATTAAAATATATATCTTTTTTAAATTCTTTTCATATTGAATATTATATTGCTTATTTAAAATTAAGATAAGTATACTATGGTAAATGACAAACCACTTGTGTATAATGATGAGGACAAATAATGATTTAAGATTTATCAACAGAAGGTACAATTTTCATACATTCGTGTTCACAAGATCTGCAAAGTTTTAATTAGTCATTAATATGAAAGTTTTTAATAAATTCTTCTTAAAACTTTAAATTACTTGTAAGAATTTTTTTAAAGTTTAAAGACTACGTATTCTCCTTTCTTCGCATGAATTAAACTGTGTATAGGTCAACTCAATATAGATAATCGCTATATGTAAATTTTTCATATTTTCCCTTGTATGTAACAGACGAACATCGCTAATGGATCACATCAAAGTGACTTCAAGTATTTAGAACGAGTGACATAGTGAAATTAAATAGAGGAAAATGATTTAGGAATTGCCGTTTCATATTGCGAGGACATTGAATATAATTATAAATTATATCTAAAACGACAAATTCAAAAGAAATTATGTTTATTTCTGTTAAGTACTTACATGGTCGTTCAAAAGGATAAATGTTGTTGTATTAACAAAATATTAAATAATATTTATATAATATGATTATATTAATGCTGGTCGTAGTAACACATTTGATTTATAGAAAAGATCTAGGTATATCCACATCTATAAAAAAATACTTATTTTATTTAAATTAAAAAATATATGGTTATTCTAATAATATTTTCATAGTTTTAGTCTTCGACTGTGCTGGTCTAAGGTTTTTTCAATGACTACGATATCATCAGTGAGTGAGAGGTCCCTGACTAATATAATGAGTAATTTTTTATATTAAGTACGTTCCATTTTAAGACCTCTTTCTGTAGGGTAGTAAATAGTTTCAGTGTAACAACTGCGCCCTCTCTCATGCCGCGTTTCAAACATGTAGGTTTTTTTTCTCTGGTTCTAGAATCGGACTGATATTGTAGATTTGCTATATGAGGCGTTTTTTTTAAGTTCTCTAAACCACGGTTTTACAGATCCCAATGTTGTTTTCAACTGAACTATGGATCCCTATTGTAATTGGATCTTTAATTTCTTATCGTGTTTTGGCGGAAAGACTTGATTTAGTTGACCTTACGGTAAGGATAGTATCAACAAACTTATCATGCTCTTATGAAAATATTTCACGCCATCGATGTTGAGGCATTGGAAGTAATTGTAAATTCTAACTTAATAGTTTTTTTGATTGGACCTTGGTCGGCGATAGTCAGAGCATAGAATTCATCTGACGCATTAGACCTTTCAAATTAGACATTGATATTCAATGCATTGGTTAATGCCTGCATGCATGCAGGATTTGAACCTTTTAATCATGAAGACATGTGGTTTCTTAGTCGACATGTTGAGACTGATCTCATTGTTAGCACCATTTTCAGGATTATTTTTTATAATCATCGAGTTTGGGGTCAAGGGGTCAAAAATGTAGGGTAAATCCAAAGTGAAGGTAATTAAAAGCAAGGTATTCATTAAAACAGCAATACAAGTTCGTCTAACTTCTTGTTTACGATAGTTGACTTCAAATTTTGGTTATTTATTTCGGTAACTCTTGAAACTTCAATGTCAGTTATGCTTAGAATAGCAAACCTTTTTATTTTAATATTTAGAGTTAGCAAACATATTTTCGAAACTGATGAATTTCTGTTTACATATAATAAAAATAAAAACTAAAATTATTTGGTTTCTAGCTCGCCCGCTTCGTGTTTCATAAAATACAAAAAAGAAATATTAAATTGTGTTCTCTAGCTACCTAATTATTTATTGTGAACAGACAAATTAACCCCTAACTACTTAGGGTCTCTTCGATTTATATGATTTCAAACAAAATATAACACAGCTTTCCTAATCACCGTATCGTTACTGTGTTGCACAATACGTTCCCATTTTTTACACGGCGTGAAGCCCAGTTTGGATGCACCATGGATAAATGTGAGTATCGATGCCATTAGGTTTAGAATTACACATAGTAAATAAATAAATAAAATAAAAATAAACTTTATTGACTCAAGGATTACATAACAATCAAGTTGCAAGGGCCCAAACCCGTATTACTAGGTGCCCCGCTCATCCACCAAGACAACTAAAAACTCAACAATGATTTTGTTACACAGATTTATAGTAATATCCTATTAAGCAGTGTAAACAATTTTATAAAATAACTAGAAAAGTGTGTGTGTTTGTGTGTGTGTGCTTGTATAGGTATGTGTGTCTGTGTGTGTGCGTGCGTGCGTTTAAACATCTATTAATTTTATTAAAGTTGTGAAAGGTTTAGATTAATTATCAATTTTTCAGTTTCATCATAATTGGGTTTTGAAAAAAAAAAAAAGTATTGATTTTTTTTTATGTATTTTAAAACTTTATTATTAATTATATTGGATTTTTAATGCACAAAACTTGAAATAATTTTTTTTAATTAATTATAAACAATTAAAAATTGATAAAATTCAAAAATAAATCACGTGACTGTAAACGCGCCATGATTGGTCAGCATACTTGTGACGTCATAATGTTAAAGCAATTTCATAATACATAGTACAGTGTTTATGGCTATTATCTTTAACTTGATAAAAATATCTCAAATTTATTAGTGAAAAACGATTTGAAAAGTTTATTTCGACTATGTGTGATAAAGGATTTATAAAAGCAAAATCGGATAATATTCCTGATGTTGATATATTTATGATAACTAATTTTTTAAAAAATGACGTTCGGTTTAATTCTGCTGAAATTCGAGGTGATAAGGCATCAAGGTAAGTCTGTTAAAAAATACTATTCTAAATGAAAATAAGTATTTATTCTCTATTAAATATAATTAATAATTATTTCATTAAATCATTATTAATAGTTAGAGATATGATCGCGTCGTATTACTCAAAATTAAGGTTTTCTATAATAACTAAAGAAGGCCCTTCAAAAAGTTTGAGTTATAATGTAGGACTGTTTCAAGGTTGTTGTCTATCTCCAATTGCGTTTAATATCGTAATTAACATCTTAGTAGACAAATTAATCTGTAACGAGAAAAAATGGGGTTATCGGTTTAAGTTTAATAATAAATACACGGAATCCATTTTAGCCTTCGCTGACGATCTCGCAATACTGACACGTAACCCCAAACACTGTCAGGTACTATTGGATGAAGTGGATAAATTCTGTGAGTGGACGGATGGATTGAGGACAAAACCCAGTAAATGTCACTGTCTGTGTCTTGGTAGGCGGAATACAAGATACACCTCATACGATCCGGGACTATCGTTAGGCGGTCAATGCATTTCTACGGTTACGGAAAATGCACCATTTAAATTTCTCGGTCGTAAGGTAGATAATATAGGCCGTACTCCATCTTTAGAAGGAATAGTAGATAGCTTTTTGAACGATCTTAACAAGGTAGATAGCCAACTGATAAGTAACGTCAAAAAAGCGTGGATCTACGAGAATTACTTAACTTCACGTTTGAATTGGCCTTTCCTCGTCTATGATTTTAATAAAACCCTTTTGTCAAAGTTAGATGCAGGCGTCATAAAGATGTTGAAGTTGTGGCTCGGGCTCGCTCTAACGGCTGATTCATCGGCGTTATTTAGGGGAAGCAATAGTTTTGGGATGAGTCTAAAAAGGCCATCGGAGCTCTATAAACACCTAAGAGTTTCCAAGAGATATATCCTGGGGAAATCCCATGATGCGGATATATTGAAGTCTTTTATTCGGCAAGACGAGAATGATAAATATAAGATCCATGCAATGAATTTAGAAATGCAGAACGAGTGGTTAGACATAGGAGATTTTTGCATCCCATTAGCATTAAAATGGCGCACTTTAATTTATGATTGGTCGCCAGCATTGCTAAAATTCTATCTCAATGCGTTCCAGATGACTCTCCCAGATCAGAGTAATTTAGTAAGATGGGGTAAAAGAACCGAAAAAACTTGCTATATCTGTGGAAAGGCAGTTGGAACTGCTAAGCATCTGCTGGTGGGATGTAAGGTACTCCTGGACAGCGGTCAATACTCACGTCGTCACGATAGGGTTCTAGAAGTCATACGTGAAGCGGTTAGTCTTTCGGTAGCCAGAGCGCAAAAGGGAATAACCACAAACGAACGATCAGTAGGTTTTGTGAGAGAAGGCTCTAGGGCTACAAAATCAAACGTCAAGCCTTACTCCATCCTTAAAGCGGCGTCGGATTGGACTATAATGATGGACACGTATGAAAAACAATATAAAATCCCCGAGGATATTTGTGCGTCGGCCTCCAGACCGGATATATTTTTGTTTTCGCGAATTTTAAAGCGCGTAGTGATGATAGAGCTTACGGTCCCTTGGGAAACCAACATCCCCGAAGACCATACCATCAAGGTCAACAAATATTACGAGCTCACAAACGAACTCACTCGAAATAGGTTCGTAGTAGATTTGTACGCGGTAGAGGTGGGAGCGAGAGGTATAACAGCGAAATCTCTCTATAACCTACTAAAGGACTTGGGCTTGTCCAGAACTCACATTAATGCATTCTTGGAACGTACATCGAAGGCAGCCCTAGTAGGTTCTTTTCAAATTTGGTTAGGTAGGGAGAGGAGCTTGGACAGTGGAGGTGAGCGTATAACGCGCGTTAGTTAAGGGGCCCCTTAAACCTACACTTGGGTCGCAAGTCCCAGGCACTGTTGAAGCTCCTCCCCCTGCAACGCGATGGACCCGGCACCCGCACGGTGAATCCATGGAATGCTGAGAAGTTTCGTCTCTTATTATAACATTATAAAAAACCAAAATAACATATACTTTAAAAATTTAAATGTAGTCTGATACAGAACCTAGAATGTTATAAAATTATGAAAATATCTATTAATTGAAGTCCAATTATTAGACAAACATACATATAGATTTACTATTTAATCGCTTTGAATTATCAATTAAAAAATTTTAATGCTACGATTCTAAAGGTTATGATTTGGAGCCCAGGTAAAAAAATTAATTATTGAACTATACTTATTTATACACTTAGATAAATAATAATTAATAACAATACTATTATGAATACTTACAACGAAATGATCTTCACAACAAAAAAAAAATGATTTTGTTTTTGAATAATCTCGATGCACTGCTTGAAACCATTTCTTTCGACGTTTTTCGTCTTGTGGAACATTTAAAAACATTTTTTCAGGAGTTGTTTTTGTAGTCTTTGTACATAATGGTACAATACTTTTGATTATTTAACAATGCCAACAGAATTTACTAGATAAAAACTCAAAACACTGTACTAATTATTATATCCCTGTATGCTACAATGAGCAAAAACTAACATTGTGACGTCACACGCGCTCGGGTTTATTCGCGAGCTGTCGGCGGGTCTTCGGTACTGTATTTAAAATTTAATTTTTATTTTGATATAACTTTTTAATTATTGCAAAAAAAATAAAATAAAAATAGTTTTGTTATAAAACTTATATATGATCTTTCCATTTATCACAAAAAAAAAAAATATTCAAAAACCCAATTACTTATACGTGAGTAATGTTTCAGTTAGAACATGCTTTACTTTGGTTTTTGTCAGTCTGTAGAAGTCAAGTTTACGGTTTAGTTTATTATAAAGATAGGATGATTGATAATTGTATTGTATTTTCTTAAATTTGGTTTTACTAGTTGGGATAGGACAAACAGAGTTACGCCTACGGTTTTGGATTTGAGAGGGAACAAAAGGTAAATGATGATGAATTTTAAGTATACAATTTAATATATATATATATTTGACGAGTAGTCAGTAATTTGTACTGATTGTGTAAATCAAAAATTGGAAAAAGGTACGGTTTGAAAAACATTACTTTTATGAGAGACCTCTGCGCTCTTCCTACACACACATATCAAATCCATATAAATATAGATCGTATATAAACAACTTAAACCAAGGCATCAATACTCTGTCGTGCTAAAAAAAGACAGTAATGTTAATTAAAAGGACAGTACATAATTAATAAATGTTTAAAAGGCAGTAAATCTAATATATTTCTGCTGCATACTATTTTATTGTATGTGTTTAGAGTTCATAGTGGTCAGTTCCAAGGGTTTCTTCAACACTACTCTGTAACCTGGCGCTTGTTTGTCAGTTATGGATCTCAATTCTCAGGTATAGTGAAGCGAATTTGTGGGAACAGTGCCTGAGGGTATAACTATATGTTTTCTAGGTAACGTACAGTTTACAGTTAGTAACGTAGAGTTTAACGTAACGTGAGAAAGGTACAGTATAGCGTGTGAAACGTACATTTTAGCATTGGTAACGTACATTTTATCGCGTGAAACTTACAGGATAAAGGAAATAACATAAGTCATGGATTACCTTCTGACCAAACAGCATTTAAAGATTTAGTTCAAACCAATACCATCATTTACGATTTTAAATTTTACATTTTTAACCCCAAATTTATATTAGGAGTCATAAAATTGTCACAAAATCCGCTCTTAGATCATTTCAATCGATAAAGCGATAGTTTAAAAATAGATTTTTTAAATTGTTCTCGCCCCCGTAGCCGTGAAATTTCGTAAAATCCATTCTTGGCTGACCTCTACTTGGCCAAATGAATATTCTAACTACATTTGAAACCGCTGCGCCTTTTAATTCCAGAGATATCGTGATGAGTTAATATAGAGGTGGAAATCTCTTATACATATGTATATATATGTATACAGATATATAAATTACATTAGAAAAGTACATGATTATTAAGTTAACCAAAGAGAGGTCATTATTTAAAATTATCGCTTAGTGATGAGTATGAAAATAAAATAAATACTTTTCCTTCGCCGAATCACACATATGTAAATTTTATGTTGACTGAGCTGTATTGTTTTAATGAAATCAATATTTTCATAACAACGAACAGTTTGAGCCATAATATGTGAGAAAATGAATAAAAGGATAATACATTTTATAAAATATCATAAGATGGCTTCGATATTAAAATCAGCACCCCGGAATAAAATAGTTACATTTCTGTAACAAAGGCTAAAAATCTTGTAATTTTATCTTAGTGTCAATATTTTAAAAACGTATTAGGTCCTTGTACATAAGAATATTTTTAAAACAAAAGGTTTAATTTCAGTAAGTGTCTAAGCGGTCGCGTTAGAAACTCAAGTTATTTGTACTTTCTGCGCTGTAGAAAATCACTAAAGGAGTTAAACCTTTGCATAAATGTATTTTAAAGGGATACTGTAGAGACATTTCTAGATTTCTATTTTCAATTTTTCCTTAAAATATTATTCACACTTACTTTGTCGGTTTTTACGTTTCTATAGTTACGCGGTATAAAGTCTTATGAAAATAAATTACTTTGTGTTCAAGCCTACATCAGTATTAAATGACTTTTTGAATTACATATTTAATTCGGACATACCATTTAAAAATTTAATAATTTAAAGGTTTAATCATTCTCAAAATTAAATCCACGTTATAGCTCAATTTTTCACATGATGTTGTATACAGTTTTATTTTTAATGTTATTATATTAAAAAAACAATTATTAACAAAAAAATACACCGTTTTCTAAATCCAAACTTAAAATATGTTTAATGAAAAAGATGATGAAATTTTAGTTTGTCTTGATTTAACTCAAAAAGTAAGTACTCAATGCAGTAAAACGCTACAGGATATTTTATTCTTTTTGTAAAGTACTCCTGCGGGTTGGGGTAGGTTCCTAGTATTTTATAACAATCATTGTTACGACAGTAATGCAGACAAATTACAAAATGTTAATAATTTGATCTATAACGAACGGACTATACACTGTTACTAAATTATGGAATATTTCTTTCGTTACAATGGAATTAAAAAGTACAGTAGTTGTATATCTGACGACCTATTTTATATGATGTGTTCGTGATTTCCTTGAATTACATTCAATATTTAATCCCGTTTATTACTTTAAACGGTCACTCAAAAGTTTATGTTTTTTGCAATTGGATGGTTTGTACTTAGCTTGTCTTCTCTTTAACGGTTTTGAGGAAAAATATGAATTAATAACTATCAATGAGCGATACTTGACAAGAAGTACATACTTGATATACAAAATATTCCCTCTCTTTAACCTTAACTTCTATAAAAACTACATTGTAACTGATAAATAATAGCTGGTAATTGAAAAGATTTGAAAAAAAATTATATGATATAAATTTCGTTATTAGAAACAACTTTCTCACAATTCATTCATACCGATAAAATATTAATGTAGGGAGAAAGAAACCAAATCGCTCCCAAATACGGGCAGGAAGGGAAGCCGGGGAGTCTCTGGGCGACCCCCACACAAGTCCCACTGTCGAGCCAGGGCAGTGGGTAGTCTGTAAGCGGATTTCTCCCCGAAAAAAAAAAAGAAAAAAAAGGGAGAAAGAAACCAGGCCGCAATAAATCTTGTTGGACGTTGAATATTCATAAAGGAAACTAACTGTATGTGTAAAGCTGACCACGCGTTTTACATAGTTACCTACATAGAAGAGAAATACTATGTTCTTCCTGAACGTATGGCTACATATATATTTTAGATAATTCAAAATACAGGTATTTTTATTTCCGCTTAGAAATATAACATCGTCTACCACAAGAAGTACTATAGTGGAAAAAATATTAATACTATTTTATACATAAAGGAAGAATACTATTAAATGTATTAATAAAAATTTAATGCTTCATGTCAAATAATGGGTGTTGAATCTCAAATCTCAATCACTAATTCATTACACGTGATTGGGAATATATATGTTAGGAATATGAATTAAGTTAAATGAGTGAGATTATTAAAAGTTTCAGGACTATTTTATTCCTCCTACTTAAATTGGCTGAATGATCTATCTTTTTTCTAGTCTTAATTATAAATAGGATTGAAAGATTTTCATTTATATATATTTTTGATAAAAAACATAAATATTTAGATAGGAATTTTCCATGAAAACCAAAATCTTTGAGCTTGTGTTTCTGCCTTTGTTTTGGTTATCAATATACAGGGTGACTGGTGGTATATACATACATACATTACATATTTAAAATGTTAAAACTAAATTAACATCGATACTCCATTTGCTTACATTCTTCATGACCTATTTAATGTTACATTTTATCGATGTCAAACTCTGTCGATGTCAAATATAATAATATGTTTTTTCTTGTTTAACTTGCAAAAACTGTTACAAAGGTAATTTAGTGAAAACTACATCGACGAAACTGTTTTAACATTTGATCTCTTGGCGTCATAAAAGTATCATTTCATACATAGGTGTTCCAATTGTTTATATATTGGATAAAAAGAAAGATCTCACAAAGTCATTGCTTTTGCCACAATTCTAATAGGGCTTATTAAAATTTTGTATGAATTCGTCTTAGGTAAATCTTTGTGAAGTTTATTCCCTTCCACCTTTCACTTAATAAAAAACACTCGCAAGTTATTTGAAGTTATTAATTTTGCTTATTCCTTTCAAACTACTTTTTATTTTGAATGATTTATATTATAAACCGTTATTTTTAAACTTCCACAACAAAGAAATTTAAAGAAGTAATTTCCCTCTATACTTATGTTTTAAATTGTGTTAACTAATTTAACCAATATTTTTATTATTTAACTAGCTTTTGCCCGCGACTACGTCCGCGTGAAATAGTGACTTCCGGCAGAAAAGTATAGATAGCTGTGCCCACGACTCCGTCAGCGTGTAACTCCTTGTAAAGGTAAGGTAAAGGTACCTATAGAACGAAAATACTTCAGTGCAAAGCTTCGTTCACGGTCAGCAGTGAGACGTTATTCCCTGTCAGTGTAGGTTTCTGATTCGCGAGAAAATTCGCGAATAATTCACGAGACGCAAGTAAAAAAAATTTTACTGATTGCATTTTTTTCATCAGTAGCAATCCCTAACCACCCCCTGTTAGTTATTTTTTAAACATATTTTATGTACAGAATTGATCGCTCTACAGATTTATTATAAGTATAGATTGTATATTATCTGACCATTTTCATTATCTCATTTAACTTATTCGTATAAAACGTATTTAATGAAAGTAATTACAACATTTAGAAGTAAAGAATTTATAAGTATTTTTATGTTAAAGATTTTAACCAACTCAATAAGAAATGAAGCTGATAAATCAAATAATTTTTATATTTTCTGAATAAAAGCTAGATATTTTAAGCCGTAATTTATGATTAACTAGTAAACCTGGCGAACTCCGTTTCGCCACCAGAAGGCTTTTATATAACATTTCGTTTGGTGATTAAAAGATGAAGAATTTTTTGTTTTATATTTGAAAAGGAAAATTTTTATTTCATTTCACAACAGTACAGTCAAATCGGGTAACATTATACCACGGTGGTAACATTGGACCATTCCCAAAGATAATCTTTTTCTTTTTTTTAGAAACAACTAGACATTATTTAACTACTGATAAAAATTTGGCTGAATGTTTAATTCTCTAGCCATAAAAAAAAAACAAAATGTCATTGACAACTGACAATCTGTCAAACAAATCTAATTTTTTTTTCAACCGTTATGGAAGTGCTCTCTGGTAAGTAGTGTTTTCAATTTTGAATTTCAACGTGTTTTTCACTAGTAACCGAGTAAGAAATGTAAATATATGTAATTTGTTACTTTTTTTAAATGAAAACAATCATTTTAAGGTCATTTGTAAACAAAATCTGTGTTAAATTTGAAAATGAAATAAAGTTCTCCTAAAAAATTGATTTTTGGGGTAACTTTGGACCGGCCAAAGTTACCCAACGTTTTTATTTAATAATCTGTAATAAGCTGGGTAACATTGGCATCTTAACATAGCTTATATTTTCTCCATTTTACTTCTTCATTACATTTGTTTATGTATAAATGTTAATAGCCATTATTTATGTTTCTAGATGTAAATAATTTAAAATTGTTTCAGTGTATGCACATCTATAAAATGCCTCGAAAATCAAACGTAAAGAAACCTGGGGTGCGGAGCTATGGCACCTTATCAAATTATTCGTCAGAGAAGCTAGAAGAAGCATTACAATTGATTAAATCTGGGGCTTTAACACAAAGGCAAGTAGAATTTTCGCAAAAATATTTATGATGGCTCAAAGTTACCCCAAACTCAATGTTACTTTGGACCACCTACAAATCAGGGATTTGCATAGACTTCTCCAATCATTTTTTATTTTTTTTTAGCGGTGCCATAACCACAGACTATCCAGATCACAGAGCAAACTGTTCTTTTAATCGAAATAATAGAATCCTAAAGGCAGCGACAGAAAATATTCAAAAAGTGGTCCAAAGTTACCCGACCTGACTGTAATGAATTCATTTCGAATACAAAAATGAAGTGTTATTTAGTTGAACTTATTTTAACTTTTTATTTTAACTAAGTAAATGAAAGTGAATCCAAAGTAGATACAGAATCGAAGCGTTATACGTGTCCGCACAATATCCGTTTCATTGAAGGTCTCCTTTGTAAACCACATTTTTTGTTTTTTTGGTCTAACTTTAACACAAATAAAGCGGATGGTTTCCAAACTCGTGAACACGCAAAATATAACTGCCCATGTGAAAAACAATGATTTTCTAAATTTATCCCGCAAATACTAAATGATTTTAAGAGTTCAAACTACAAACACAATACTTAAATATTT